ACTCCTTCATTTTTTACCCTTTTCCTCATATAAAGGTTGAACGTACCACAATAAATGACTGCATAATGACAAAAAACAAGGGACCACAATCAAAATCACGTCTTCCAGCCACCGATTCTGTTATTTTAGATGAGCTGGAGCGAATTATAACTGTCGTTTTCCATTCCGAGTTAATGGATGTGAGCAAATGGCGTGATGAATTAAACTTAGTCGCACTTGTAAAACTGCATCATGAATCAGCCGAAGTGCACCTTAACGAGTATTTTACTAAATGCTTTCTCGAAAATGGTACACTTGTATCCAAGGAGCTCATAGAAAAGCGCATTGCCCTGAATTTTGAAACAATGCGTGATCTTTTCCGAAGTGACATAATACCTTTTGTCGAATTGTATTCGGTATCTACTCTTCCATCCTCTTCAGACCCTGACCATGCACAAAAAAATCCAGCAACTCAGAAAGAAGAGCGTGGTTTAATGAATTCTCTTGATGCTAGAAAGCATATTAGTAACGAGAAAAAGACCAGGGGAGTTTCACTAGGTCTGGAAAAAGGAAGCACCGAGAGCGGTAATCGGAAAATTCCTTTACTAGCAAATGAGGATACCAAAATTGATAAGATTTTCAGTGTTCCTATTTTTTTTGAAGATGTTATGCGAGTTCAATCGCAAACTTACCCTGCTGAGGTATCCAAACTCGGGTTCTTGAAGCGCTGTTGGATAGAGGTACGTGTACGAGACGATTGCCTTATGCCTGACTTCCTATTGCACAAGTGTCGTCCCGTTTCCGTTAGGGTGACTGATGTGCAACACCTCGATCGGCTCTTACTTCAGGAAAAGCAAAAAAAGCGGTTTAGCGTCTCCGTCGGCTTCGCCAACCACACCCTGGTATCGCCCGACCGGAGCACGACCTGCCAATCCGAGCGCGGCGAGGTACTGCGGGGGGTGCTGCTGCTGGGGGATCAGACCCCTCTGGAGGTCTACCAGGCCGCCATGCTGACCCCCGTCAAGGTCTCGCTCAGTCTGGCGAACGAGGCAGCCGTCCCC